GCTTGTAAAACAAATGAAGACATAAACAAGCTCATAAAAAACTTTAAGAAAAACGAAATTATTTTCATTTAAAATGGGGAAAGACCCCTTTGTCGAGCAAACTTTTCACCATCTTCATTCTTCCAATGCGAACCGAAAAAAGTCATGTGCGAAAGTTTTTCACTTAACACTGATGATGCATTAATTCCGCTGTGTACTTTACTCGCTTCCCTGCTTTTGGCAGCTTTGAATACTAAAATTATTTTTTACAACTCAACTTTTAAGAGTTGAATTTTTATAAGCAATTAAAATAAAAAGAAAAAGGATGTTGAAACGAACTGCAGAGCTCATAGAGAATGCAAAATAATAACAATAATTATTTAACATTTATGTTCAATTCTTTTTGCACTCAAGATTTATTTACGATAATGCAATAAAGAAGAAGGGTTTATTTATTTAATAAAAGTTTTCAAATAGCCCACACTGTTTTATTAATCACGATTTTTAAACAAGTTGGCGAAAATAGACCATCCGACTACCTTCCGAAAATAATTCAATTTCAAAATTGTCTTTAAATTCCGCATTGACAATAGCAAACTCACGTCTTCTCTCTAATAATAAAATAATATGGATCTATTAAAATGCCAAATGTCACATATTCAAAAAATATATTAAATATGCTGATCCAATAAGAATAAGAATATTTCAGTTGTCTGCATAAAGCTAACGATAGTAAAGTGTCTCCATAATCAATATAACTAACATGCACTTTTTTCATACCTTCCCTTCCTTACTTTGCTAGAATGTATGATTTTAGTGGGGAAATAGTATGCACATATTGTTGTCGGTCTATATCTATAGTTATAGTTAGTTTTATAAAACAGCCCCTAAAACTGACTAAAATAAAAACATACATTAAGACTGAAAAGTTTTCGGAAATTCTCATTTAAAATTCGCGCGCTGTATATTTTTCGATATTTTAAGTTTATGTAGTTTGGCAGCACTGTCCTTATTACTATGCCAAAATGAGCGCGATCTGTCAGACAGTTCGTTTACGGCAGCTGTTTGAACAGTTCACCTAGTAGTGGCTGTTTGCGAAATGTCTTCGACGGTCGTTACGACCGGTCCTGAAAGGCTTGTACCACTCTAAACTTGAGTTTTCGATAAAACTGATTCCCCATAAGCCTTTTGTGGCATTCGCAACGATTCTGCACACGAAATTTCGTTCGAAACACAAAATTTGATGCAAACTCTTTGTTCAATATTTTTTTCCATTGTTTTTTTCGCAACGCCCTACTGAGGTGAACTGGTTTCAACAGCTGCCGTAAACGAACTGTCTGACAGATCGCGCTCATTTTTGGCATAGTAATTAAGGACAGTGCTGCCAAACTACATAAACTTAAAATATCGAAAAATATACAGCGCGCGAATTTTAAATGAGAATTTCCGAAAGCTTTTCGGTCACAATGTATAAGTGAATTCTGCTAATCAGGTTAAGAATGGCTTTGGGCACCTTTTAAAAATATCAGGCTTTTAAATTTCTTGAGAATGCCACAGGGACCTACCTTCTGCTCAAAAAGTATCCGGATTTTGTTGTTTGTTTACTACTTTTTAAGTAATAGACTTTTTTCAAAAATTTTTCTGTTATATTGGTACACCCTTTCTTGACATATGGTGCAAATTTGAGCGTCATCTGTCAATTAGTTTGTTTACAGCAGCTGTTAATGTGAGACTACTACAAGTGCATTTAGCGATTTTTATTATGCAAAATAATAACCAAACACGGGACCACTGTCATCGCTCAGGCACCATATTCGCTAGATCTGGCGCCGTGCGATTTTTTCCTGTTCCCGAAACTCAAATTGCCCCTTCGTGGTAAGCGTTTTGAGTCGATTGAATCGGTAAAAGAGAATTCGCCGAAGGAACTAAAAACCATACCTGCACGGACTTGAGAAAAGTGTATGGAAGATTGGGTTAAGCGTTGGCATAAGTGTATCGGTTCAGAAGGAGCATATTTTGAAGGAGATAAAATAAATTTTAAATAAAATT